TTATTTGCCATATGATACACTGTGGCATTAAACTCTATTGAGTGTCGTAATCGCAGTGGTGGGGGCAGGAAATGTACAATATTAAATTATGTATGTCCTATACATACTGTATATTATCATTTACTCCCTATATATCATATTAAATCTTGTGTCATTATTTGCCCTATGATACACTGTGGCATTAAACTCTATTGAGTGTCGTAATCGCGGTGGTGGGGGCAGGAAATGTACAATATTAAATTATGTATGTCCTATATATACTGTATATTATCATTTACTCCCTATATATCATATTAAATCTTGTGTCATTATTTGCCCTATGATACACTGTGGCATTAAACTCTATTGAGTGTCGTAATCGCAGTGGTGCGGGTGGGGGAAATTATCCCTGGCCTTATCAATGTGTAATTGTCTTTCGAAATTGTCAGTACCAATGTGTAGCTATGTTCTGTCATTATTCTTCATGAGTTTCCTGGTAGTACTTCCATAGTTCTTTAACGACTGCCTTCTTTCTAAGTTTTTCCAATACATCACTCATCTTTACAAGGTAGTTTACTTCAGTGTTTGCCTTTCTCACCACATAACCAGCATTTCCAGTTTTGCGTCCACAGTTGGTGGTGAAAAGTCCAGCTCAATTCTTTCTATTTCAGGTTTCTTTAGATCAATGATGCTGCCATAGGATTTCCAATCCTTTCCAAGCTCGATCCTCTGCAATGAATTGTATATCAATGTCTGCTAAGAATCCTAAACGAAAAGTAAAGACATCAATATTAAAACACTTTCAGAACATTGTGGACTTCACAGTTCGGCCAATACAAAGGTTAGTAAAATGTGTCCTGTCTATACACCATTTTATTGGGAATATTTTGAAAAAGCGAAATCTATGTAAACGGAAAACAGATGACGGAATCAATTGAAAGCGATACTGAGGACGTATCGTAATACAGTATCGATCTGTTGTTCCAACATGAAACATTCTAAAAATTTCATTTAAAAAATACATTTAAATAATAATAGACAAGTTGAGTGACTAAGTGGTAAAGCAGGGGCTTTGCTAACTACAGCCTTAACATTGGTGCTGGATGGGTCACTCCTTGCCCAGGGTTCAGTTGGTAGCACCAAGTTTTCTCAAATAAGGAATGAAAACCAGAAGTCCACTGTATTGGCTTGTGTTCACTTTAAAGAAACACTGCATTTTTTAGAAGAGTATGGGGTTACCCCGATGCTATGCTTTATTTCATCCCTTGCCTTTGTGGAATGATGAAAACATGAACCTACTACCCATCTGCGATGGCTATTTAGTCACAAATAACGCCCATATGCAATTCAGCACAATGACATTGCAAGTTATGGGTTGTTATTCTGCTACTTTACATTTAACACATCATATCATATTACCAACCTTTGCATTACTGGTGCACTTGATGTAATCGTCCGCTAGCAAGTACTCTAACTGCTTTTAAACTGGATGGTTGATCTTCTGATACCTTTGAGCTGAAGACCTTGTTAGCAAGTTCTCTGAGTCCTTGCTCCTTCCATGCTCTGCACATTTTCTCAACATGATTTTTCCCAGCGAGGTTTAGTATTTTTCTGCTTTTGGTGTAGCCCAATATCGTATTACAAATTGTTTGTTCGTTTTGATAGGAATTCATAAAACATGGATATGACTCAGATATTCTGCATTGTTGTTTGTCGTGTCAAGAAAACATGACTTCAAATGGAACATGCAGATGCAGATTTTTGTTAATTTACACAATAGTACTATCTGGTATTTGGTAAATGTTTCTCTATTATTTTCACAATATTACATAGTTCGTGCCACAACCTCTGTTTAGTCCATACATGATAGGTACCTGTATCACAAATTCATTGATTCAAGTTCTTTATGTATGTTGGCAGTGTGCGTCTAATTTATCAGCAACAATCTTGTTATCATTTTCAATCAATGCTGCCTTCAATGTTGTGAGTTGATTTACATTGCTTTCTTGTCTGTTCCTCCATCGGACAAGCATTTCTAAAGTGGCTTCCACAATCTGTCTCTGAAACTTTGTATCTACGTCGTCAATTTCTGCTTCTGTTATTCCAAGACTCCTAGCAACAGCTTTCCAACCTCTACCCATCATCTCAGCTACAAATAATAGAACAGCATCTGGAATGTACCCTAAATTAAAGCAAAGTTAAACCAAAGTTAAAAATAAATAATAAAATATATTTGATAAATTTAAAATAAATGTTTCCCAGTCAGATAGGGTCTGGGATTGCACCTGAGTGGAGATGGATGGTGACTTCCTGAAGACTTTGCAATATTGTTTTGCCATTTAAATTTTTTTGCTCTCATTTAATCAAAATAAAAACAGTTTCTGAATAACCTGTATATGAGGTTCCTATGTGCATAATACAAGTGATTTGCAACCGCAAGGAAAAGGCACTATACTGTATAAATTACAACAATTATTATTATTATTATTATTAATAAAAGTACATAATAAAATATTGGATACATTAAAAAAAAAGATTGAATATAATTTTAAATATTTTAATCAAATTAATTTTCACCAACCTCGTACTATTCTATGTTGCGTTGAAACTTGAGGTGGATTTGCAGCAGCTTCGAGGTCGTCTGTGTAGCCACGCCTTTCACACAATCGTTCCGCAACTTGTACAAGTCTCTGTTCTCTCAATGCGCTGAGCATGATTGGCATTTGGTTTGTTGATTGGCCATCTCTCCAAGTCACCAGGGTTTCCATGACGGCATCTTTCAGTGTGTTGTTGTCTGCTATGACATTAATCTTGTTCCACCCAAGTCCAAGTCGCACTCCTAGCCTCCTCCAATCAGAGCCCAGATCTTCACAGATGAACAGCAGGTCTTGGTCATCAAGGGATGCTGGTTAATCAAAGAAATAAAAAATGGAAGATTTATTAATGATTTTGGTGAAATAAGGAAACATTTAAAAACCAAACCCATAATATTTAAAAGTATCAACAAATAGGTTTTCAGACTGGGAATGTTGATGTATGCAAGCAGTTGGCTCATAGATTGTGGCTTGGACTCGCAACCTTGAGGTCAGAGGTTTGAAACTCTCGCTGTGCAAGTTGCTTGTGTGCTTGGGCGGCACTTTATCTACGTTTGTCTCTCTCTACACAGGAGTATAAATGAGTACCTGGTAGGATGTTGTGGTATTGGATGTACTATTTTTGTGCGCTAAAGTATGCAGCAAATGACTAGGGATATTCCCCAGGGAGCAGAGAATGTTGCCCTTTGTGCTGGTTTGCCATTTTGTATAATAACGCTTGTACCTTTGATCATTCAATTTGAAATTGGTGCCTTATAAATATTTGGGTATTATCATTATTATTATAATTACCTGGCCAGAAAATGTTTCTTCAATTTAATTTTCAATCAAAAGCTAATACAGTAATAGGTTAAGCCATTAAAATGGTTGTTTTTTGTCATTTTCCACACTCTGATCTGAGTTAACAATAAGCATTTTTGTCACTGACCAAACTACACAACAAAAAATAATATCAAAATGATGTATTTAATGAATATTTTATCATGAATAATGCATTACTAACCATCGTATTCATGGTGTGTTGTGGGTAATCTTCTACTGGTATCTTCACCTGCATTTACATTGGCTTCTTTAACCTCTGACATTTGAGAGCCAAAGATTTTGTTAGCAAGCTCTGTGAGTCCTTGTTCCTTCAAAGCTCTGCACATTATCTCAACTTGATTTGTCTCATAGTTCTGTTGTTTCCTCCATTCTGTCAGCATATCCATTATGCTCTCTGGCAATTGTCTCTTATCACTCCATATTTGTTGGATCCTCTTCCAACTGAGACCCAATCTGACGCCCAGTTGTTTCCACTCCATTCCCATGCCCTGGGCGATACGAAGCAGGTGCTTCTCTTCAAGATAACCAAGACGTTCATCTGAAGTGAATAAAATAATTGGAATAATAATATTATTGTAACAAAAATAGTATATAAAATCAATAATTATAAAACTACCTAATAGTCATATAACTCTTTAAAAAAAAATAATTTCATGAGACACAAAATAGTAATAACCTCTGAAACACTAACCTGGTGGCGCTGTTTCAGCATCGCTGGAACCTGCTGCTGGCATTGAAGAATCTACAAATGAATTAAAAACAATTTAATACAGAATCAAATGACTAAAATTGACTGCTGTCTATCACATTACATTGACCAGGACAAAATCAGCTCACATAAAGTTTTAATGGTGGATTTATACTAAATCAGAAGTGGGCATAGGCCATCTGCAGCTCAACAACAGTTTTATTGCCACCTCGAAAAAAAAAAAAAAAATTAAAAAAGCAGTATGCAGCAAACCATCTTCAGTTGGAAAAATTTTTGTTGGTATCAAGCTGGTTGTCTGTAATATTAATAATAAAATGGGATGATTCTGGAAATAAATCATGTTATAATTTCTGGGATAACTTTTGAATTTTGCCTCTCTGTTTGCTTTACAATTGCTTTTGATATGAAATAAATCAAATAAAATCAAAACTAAGCATAAAGGGTTGTAAAAGCAGTGCATGAATGTTGTCAATCAAAAATTTAGTTTGGCTCTCTGACCATTTTTATCCCTTTATTACTGGATAAAGCTTTCAATATTAGACATTGATTTCCAAGGAGCAATTTCAAAATTTAAAAAAAAATCTATTGTATAATAAAAAAAAAACATAATACTAGTATAGCAGTTCCTTTAAAAGGAAATCAAACAAAATAGACAAGTTAAAATTGAATAACATATATATATACAGATTTGATATAGAATAATTAAATGCTCAGATTAATACCAAGTGGAATTGGCCAATGAAATGTTACCTGTATTTATACCTAATTAACATTTTC